AGCATTTATCCTAAAGTTGTTATCGACTCATCAAAATTACTCACTAGAGACAAATAACAAAAAATATGATTTTAACATAACCCCAAAACTGTAACGTAAAATATTTGCTTCATGAAAAGTTATTAGATTTGTCGTGAAAATATCATGAATATTTTTATTAATTGTATATTTATAAAAAAAAAGCTTTGTCAAATTTGTTATAACCTTTTCACGTTGACAGGCTTCTTTAAACAATGCCTTGTTTGTTTCGTAACTCCTAAACCACAAGATNACGTTGACAGGCTTCTTTAAACAATGCCTTGTTTGTTTCGTAACTCCTAAACCACAAGATGTAGAGCATGGAGTCCAAGAAGACCATTGAGACCATTCTCCAAGATCATTTTCATTACTTGATTTTAATGATGAATTGAAATATATATTTGATGTTCTTTTGTTTTCATATACCTAAAAATGATTTTAAAATGTTTTGTTTACAACTTTAATAATAATACATTATTATTTGCAAACATACAAACAAATTGATAGTCAATTTCTTATTGTTTATCAATTCTCGAAATGTTTAATTTTAAATTAATAAAATTTAACTGTCAAATGTTCTAACTAACTAAACATTTTTTTATTTACTGGCAACCCTTAAAATTAAAATGAGTACCTAATTGACTTTTTTTAGTATTTTTTTTATCAAAACCTTAAATTAATCAATCGTATTACATCTAATCAAGAATACAAAAAAATTATAAGTTAGCTATGCGTGTGCGGGAGGTGGAGTCGGTTACAGGTCAACGATCAATGCGCATGAGATATACTTGAAATTCTAAACGCTTCCTGAACTAGAAATAGTGAAATAATGAATGAAACACATTTAGATATTATACACAATCGGGATGCTTTTACTAGTACCCAAGTAAGAGAACAATGGATGAGCACTACAATTAATCGAATAGAAACAATGAGTTCAGTGACAAATTCAAGATAGAGAGATTGCTCCCACTAACTATAGTAAACTTTTTGTTGTACGTTTCATAATTCACATTTAAAATTAAAGTATGAACTTTCATAACAGTCTAAAAAATTTTCAAGTATAAAATAGAAATAAAAAGAAGTATCCGGAAAGTTCATAGGAATTTAATACTTTCCAGGAACAAGTACATACAACATCATAAATCAAAGATATAATGATTAAATCGGTATCAGTTTTATACGTTTTTGATGAAACAATGTTAGCTAGCAAATAACTGGGAACATACATTCGGTTAATTAACAAATCACAACACACTATACTCAATAATTCTTTAAGTATAGTAATTAATGTGTACATTAGAGACAGATAACAAAACAAATATTTGTGGTAGACCAAATCAAATGATTAAAAAAAAGATACAAATTAAGTATTTCACTGTTAATGAATAACACATATTTTTACTCATAAGACAAAGTATTGTTATCTCTAATGACGTGTGACAGTTTCATTATTTTACACAACCGAAATTAATATTAATATTAGAAATGTATATAATGGAATTGTTAAATAAATAAAATACAAACACTTAAAAGTTAATTTCAAAAACTAGAATTCCATAAATTGAATTATTCAACTAATAGAGGGGTGTTATCAAGAGTTAATCTGGGGAAGGGGTATACAGAAGAATTATTTTACTACCACCTCTAAAATAAATAATTACTTTATATTTATTTTTATTGGGGAGCTAATCTTCATATCTCCCCATTAAAACACACACTATCCAATAATTAAACATGTGTGAAAAATTTAGGGAGACAAATATACACTTTTAATTTTAAATTCTCTATGTACAACAATTTTATTTTAAAGAAATTTTTAAAGTAGAGATTTTATTTAAGCCATTTTTAACCTTACACGAGAGTTATAGTGAAATACATTTTAATGCAGAACAAGAAAACGTCATCAATAACATAACAATTATAACGTTAAACATTTTTTTATTAAAATGTAACTCAAGAACTAAAAATTTTATTAAAAAAAAATATCCTTTTCAAACTTTATAATATATTTAAATGTTAAAAGAAATATTTTTTTCGTATCCGATCCTTGTTTTAATGAACAATACTAATTGAAACAGTTATATTAAAAATAATTTATAATTTAATTTTCTTATCCAATATAATCTTATAGTCATAGATATAAAAAGGAAATAGTTTAAGACATGATTTCTTTAAGTTTTCTACTTTTCAGACGGAAAAAAAATTATTTTTTTATGGTAAGCGGTTAAAATTTATATGGTTTTAAAAAAATATGTAAATAATGACTATGTCTATTGTATAATCAATTCAATACTAATAGTATGTATGACAAAGAACTACTCATCATGAAAAGTGTTTGAAATAAGTACTAAAGAAATTTTATTATACAAGGTGTTCAGTAAGTAAAGAAACAGGCTAGTTGTTCATGGAAAGTATAATTTTTGTATAATAAACAGTTAAAAATGATATATATATATATATGGGAGAGCCATATTATACTCAACCATCTTAGTTGGTAATTTTAGCGAGGACGTTTAGTTAAAATAACTGAATCAATTCGGTTGGGAATTATAGTGGTGTTTATCCACGTGTTCGGTTAAAGTAACCGCATAATGTAGCTTATATAACCATATTAACCAAAATTTGTATTAATATCTATACTTTAATCAATATAATATAAATATTAAAATATAATATAATTTTAAAACTTTAAAAATTATTATCAAGGGTGAAAAGGTGAAATTTTTGGTTTCTGAATTCCTTAACTTAAGTATTAATAAATACAACATTCAGTATCAAAAATAAAAATGTACCCAGCTCAAAAAAAAGTTTATTGACAGGAGCTATTGTGTTAAATAAAAAAATTTATAATAAAACATTTTCGATTTAACAAAAGCAAGACCAACATTGTATTATCATCATCAAAAGAATTTGTTGTACATAATTATAAATTTTTTATATAGTAATAAATTTTTAATTGTAAATTTTGTGTATGCGAGTTTCGGATTAGGATAACCATATAAATGGTTATTTCAATCATACTTTTTCCCGTGTCCTTGCACAGAAATAACTTTTATCATTAAAAAAAGGCTTATACCTCTTCTTCGGTTACACCTATAATGAGAGCAAAAATAATTTTCAGTAACAAATAATCGAAGCATCGGTAAAAGTCATTATCGATTTATAGTTGTCAAAATTGATCAGTATACGCCTTTCGTATGCACATTCTCGTATTTTAATTGTGTTTAAAATAGAAGTGTCGACTAGCAAAGTGAAATTTGATAAATTAAAACGGAAAAAATGTCTCCGTTATACTATGGATATATAAATGGAATCATAAGCTAACCTGTCAACATTGACAAAGTACTAGTCATGGCTCACTGGATTGTCAGAAAATAATAGGTACAAAAAACAACATTGGATCCGGTCCAACCTTTTAATATGGAATAATTCCACCCAAATAACATACTAATATACTCTCGATACATAACCTAACATACACAGAACCGATGCGGTTACCGCTAACGAATTACTTAAACCGAACACTACTACCCGTATATTTCAATGCAGATCTGCAACATTTCATTTTGTTTACATACCGCAAAGTTTTGGAACAGACTGTACATACTTCTCGATTTATACTGACAAAAATTAAACGAATGTCATATTTTTAGTGTCAAAAATAACAAAAAGTTAAATAAATAATTCCTAAGATACAGAAAAAATGTAATATTTAAACAATGTGTCGTTTATTCTATATTTTATAAGCACAGTTGATTTACAAAATTATTAATTGTCATTAAACTTGAACTCTTATGATTTTAAAATAATTTCTCTTTATTTTTTTTTAATTGAAAGTAAAAACGCTTTTAAGGATTCTGGTAATGGGAAGTATTACTATAAGAGTTTGATTTCAGTCGACATAAAAAATTATTATCCTTTTGAAAACTTGTCATTATAAATAAAAAATTGTAAACAAGGATGTTACAGTTGTTATTTACTTAATAATAAAACTTTGAACTATGATTTATAATATGAGACACAGTTATTAAGAAATCATCGTGAGATAAATAGTTTAACCAATCCTAGCAGGAGGGCTCTTGAAACATTTGAAGTGATGTTAGTATATTGTGGGTTAAAAATAATTGGAGGAACAATAAATCTTTTCAAAAATCAAAAATTATTTTTATTTGTTATTTCATTCTTTTACTTGAATGTTGATGTACAATGAAATAATGATATGTAAAACGTTCAATTAGATTAATTATCGTAGGCGGGTATATATATTAAATTGTTCAAGTTAATTGTGAATGATAAACGTTTTTAATGTTTAGAATAAGCAAGTTATTCATGTGTATTTCAAAATTTAGTTTCAATTTCACTTAATAAAAATTTCATCACTGAACTGCAACTAGGTCTAATAATACGACATGATAAAATAAAATCTCAATAGTACCCACACATTTACTAGATATAGCGTCTATACTACTAATTATACTTTTAATAAAGAAATCAAGCATAAAAGAATCTTCTAGCCTAAGGCGACAAACTCGATCTACGTGATAACACCTGGCCAAATAGTGTTTACGGTAATTAAATTGGCTCCACTTTAGATAAATCATCTGGATGATTTAACCAGTAACATCTTCCTGTCGTCTTGATCACACATTCATGAATAAACGATAAATCACAATACGAAATAATTATTCACACACACACATTAAAAATTGTATTTAAAAGAGATTACCAACAAAAGTTGGCAAATTTCTAGGAAACAAGAAGAATCATAGTTTCACCAAGAATTACTATAAAATTTGATTTTACTTTTAAATATTATGGGAAACTCGGAGCTTTATGCACAAATACACAAAGGAACATTTTAAAATTTTTAGGAATTTTCATTCAAAATATATGAAAGTAACAAAAAAAAAAAAAATAAGGCGACATTAAAGATTTTCCTAGACGGCAAATTACTTAGAGCTTTAGGGTATATTGTATACACAATATGATACTCTATAATAATATATGCAAAGATACAACAACTTATTAATCGAATTAAACTTCTTTTAAAAGTAAGGGAAGTACTTACCATACTGGAATTCATTTTTTCTGCAAATTGTTAATAAAAAATAAATTGTCTTTCACAATTTTTTTCTATGTTAAACACTAAATAATTAAACGTTACTAGTGTCTACTGAAATTTAATAAATATGATTCAAGAATTTACTTTATATCTGTCGATGTATGCATTATTATAACAGTAATAAAAGACACAAACGGGTAATTAATAATTAGATAATAAAACATAAAATCAACGATTAGGGAAGCCAAGGAACAGAGCTTCTTTTTATTAGATCATTATTTGGTGGTTTTGTACTAAAATTTTACATTTAGGCCTGGAAAAAGACTTGTGTGAACTCTGGGGTAGTACCTTTAGATGGGCTTCCCTATGCAGCTTGGCCGAGAAAATCAAAGTATATTTCTTCAAAATAAATAACGTTATCAAAATTCAAAACCAAAGCAAGCATGCTAATAAAATTCAAGATCATTCAATTAAATGAAGTATGGAAAAATTTTTAAAATACATTATATTTTGTTATAACATTAAAACTTAAATCATATTGAGCTCTATAATATTATACATATATTATATTAAACAGTACTATACTATAATTATATTAAAGGTAGCTAGCTCAACATGCAATTTATACATTTTTCAACAAGGTTAATTACAATCAAAATGAAAAGTAATATTCATTCATTTCAAAAACAAACAATCAAACAGCAATCTTTAATTTAGAATTGGTCATTCAAGGTCACTAATTCAAACATTTATGTTAAAATATTGGATTACATATCTCTATTAATTTATGAGTTATGAACAAACGGTATAACCTTACAGCAATGCTTTCTATTAAAAAGTATCAATTATAAGATAAAATTATCACTTGTTTGACAATTCGTCGGCCACACGTTGGTTCTTGTTGTACACAAATAAATTATACAACAATATAAGAACATATAACTTTCTATATTAAAAAAACTAACACCCGTAGAGGTGGGATAATTATATTTACTTATATTATTATTTTCGAAATAATTTTATTAGTTGTTGCTGTATATAAAATAGAATAATCGGATTGAAAGAGCATACATTTAAATTTGAACACGCCATTTCACAAAAAAGGCATTATCACAAGAAAATTAAATACATTGAGATTTATTATGTGACTTCAATAATCACGCAATCACAAATAAAGCAGTTCAGAGCTTAATAAATAATATGTTTCATTAGTTCAAGATTTTCATAAATTAAATCAAAAAAACATATTTTTTTTGATATCAAGTACATAACATTTATACTTAATATAATAATGAGTGATAAATAATAAATTAATGAAAATGCATAAAGAGAACATTTCACTCGCATTTTAATAACGCTATATATTAAAATATGATATTTTTTATTGTTGTTTTCAGAAAGTTCTAAAAAAGTAGTATATCCCAGCTCAATTTTAATAACTAAAACTTATAAACAACAGCTTGAGCAAATCAAATTAAATTTTTATTTTCAATGCATTTTAAATTGTTTAAATTGCTCTTCTAAAAAAAAATGTAATCTTTTGAGATATAACGTTGTTAAAAGGAGTTCCCCATTTCTGTTAATGCTTATATACTTACAAAAATTATAAGTATATGAAAAATGAAAAATATTGTGGTAAATAAAAAAAATTCTGATAATTTAATACCATAATAACATTATACTCACAGCAATAATTGCAGATCTTTTCTGATTTACTGCGACCTTTTTCTCCTGGTTGTTGGCAACAGTAAAACTTGATGAAACAAAAATTAACCTATTAACAGAAAAATTAAAATCATTCATAGCAAATATATTAATGCTTAATAGTTGTTTTTCTCAACCACAAATCATGAACTAATTATTCAGGCTAACCAAAATAAGGTTTTTTAATTTTATCCATAGTAGGGGTCGCTAAAAAACTAAAAATCCAATAAGGTGCTCACTATAGTAGAAAACTTAAGTAATATTGTATAGTAGAGTGACCATATGTCATATTTTTACAGAATTGGAATACAGAGTAATTCTTTTAATGTTAGCCATTCAATTTCTCCTCAAATAATATAATTTTTGACATTTTTTTTTGTTTGGATTTTGTTAGTTATGTATCGTTTGTTTACAACTTAATTGGTGTAAACAACATTCTATCATAAATGAACAGATTCAATTGATTAAACTAGCTCTTAAAATAGAAAATGATTGATTGATAACAACTTTTGAACCGATGATTTGGAAGTTATTAACCGGAGTTGAAGTCCGAATGCTGCTAATTTCATCATAGTTATTTCTCTTCTTGCTGTCTATATACAAAAATGTGAATATCTTCCAAAACACTAATCTAAAAGTTGTTATCGACCAATATTTTTTTTAATTACACCATTTTCTTTTTTATGAGCTAGTTTAATACTATGTAACCATTAAAAAAAGTAAATTTTACATCCCTATAAAACATAAGAGATGGAACTAACAATTATGTATAGCAGATAAATGAAGATACATATGTAAATATCAAAAGCCTATTGGCTTTTGACAATTTACAAAAACAAATTTTTTTGTCGAAAAAAGTAACTAATAATAAAATTGATGAACAAAATAAGTGATATGTGATTATAACTCAATAATCATTGTCATTAATGGCTGGGGAGGTGGGGAAATTAATCTCCTTAGGTTTCTTAAAACATGTTTTTTCTCAATTGATATTTAGATTTTCGGGTAATCAATACCGAGTTTCATGTGCTTTGTGTTCATTATTAATAATTATTATACATAAGTCTAAAATAAAACAAAGTAATATAACGATAGGTATTTAACGTTCGAAGTTACATTTCTACATATTTTATAAAAATATCATGAAACATTTAATGTGTTTCCTCTAGACATTTTTGAAATAATTTTCAAATTTATTTTCAAAAGTTTCATTGGGTATGCATTTTAATTTTTATTATTATTATTATTATACAATTAATCCACAACAATATTAACAAGTTTAATTGTATGTTTAAAAAAGACAAAAAAAAATTACCATAACATTTTTATACGCGTTTTGACACATTATTGGTTACGTGCATATTATTTCAATATTAAGCGCATGTTATAATATAAGGTCAATAAATAAAACGACAATACGCCTACCGCGCAACGAACGTCTCGTGTTGCACTGAAAATTACACGCGATCGAGAGATTCCTTTCCACAGTAAGATTGATATATTTTTACCACCGACGATAGGAAATGAACACAAAGATGACTTTCTGGTTGTATTTCTCATCGACACCCACGTGTTATTTTTCGTGAAATATTTAAGTTATGATGTGCTATCCTGCAGTTAGCGCTACTAGTTGACCACTAAAATATTATAGTCTACAACAAATACAATAAAAACTACTTGTAAATATTATATTTATTATTGTATTTGTAGAAATAATCTCTGAAAATTATTTTTGAAAAATATGTTTCTTATGTTGTCAACAAATGTTCACTAGAAAAAAGCATAATAAAATTATACGATCATTTCAAGTTAAATGATTATTTATAGAAAATAACATAAATATTTGTTTAATAGCTCGAATGTTTTTAGGAAATCACCTTTATTTAATTTTTTACTTATTCAAAGGTTTATAATTTATTAATAAAATATGTTCATTTTAATATTAGTAGTTTTTTTATCCGCTAAATTAATTTTTTTGTAATATTAAAAACAAAATAGAATTGAATTAGTCTAAAAATAGTACAGTGACGTAATTAGCATTTCGTCTTGGGGGTGATATACTTTATAAAAAAATTTTTCTTTCCTCTCTAAACGAAAAAAAAATTATCATTACAACATAATTACTTTTGTAATGGGTGTCATATTTCCCCATGATTATGCCAGTAAAATAATACCTCATGGAAGCTACAGATGAGCTCACATTAAAGAAAAAGATAAAAACAAAACAAAAATTCAATAGATTTTTCAAGTTAGTAATAACAGCTATAAAAGAGGAGGTTAATAAGATATGATGAATGTTTAAGATTTAAAATATTATACGGCTTGTATATTATTTACTAGTATTTATTACATCTAATGAATGAATGAGAAATAAAAAAAAAACTGCTACGAAAGCCTAACAAGTGTGCGTCCAATACGCACTTGCCGGTCTTATTTTATTGTTTATTTTTAATGTATGCTGTTCATTGTATAACAAACATGAATATTAGTAGCATAATCGATTGGTAATAAATGTACCATAATTCATGATTCAAAAATTTATCAGTAATTTTTTTTTGAACTTTTTTATGACATTTAATACACATTTTATGTAATGTAACAAACATTGAATTATTTTTTATCTACCACTACAGTGTAAAACTTTTATTCATTACCATTTAATTAGATTGATCTAGAATACCGTCATATATAATCTTTATACAATAGCAATAATGCGATAAATATCGAAATTTAATATAATAGTTTAAGATTAAAAGATAAAGCTTAACAAATTTGCTGTGTAAATTAAAGCTGTAATATTCAAGTGCACGTGAACAGCAAAATTTTAACTTTACGTGAATATAAATTTAAATATTACACTCAAAATATTTTTTTCAAACAAATATTATTAAAAATAAAATCAATTTGTTTTTGAAAATATAACCACATACCTTACTACTTCATAGTTTATGAAAAATTCGTCATTATCTTTTTGTTAAAATCAAAATTAACAGTAGAAGTTAAAAGAAATGTACAAAACTAAAACACTATGTGTCATATTATTTTTACTCAGCTGTTGAAACTCATCAAGTGTTAATAAATATAATGTGTTTGTATACATATTATCACAAACAAAATCTATAGAAGAAATATTTAATATTGTGTACGATAAAAAGGTTATGCTCTTAATTCATTATATTCCAATGCATTCTCCATAGTGTACAGTATTAATATTACCGTACAACTATAATCGATCGGTGCCGCTCCAGGTGCAGTTTAAAGAAAATTTTCGAATAAAAATGATTATATAGAATCGTAACTTAGTACTAAGATTATAGTCGAAAACAATAGATAATATTACTTTGTAACAGTGTACACACATTTAGTTACATAAATATATATATAGTGCGATTTAAAATACCAAAGTACTATAGTGAAATTTAGGATACTATTAGTTGGTACTTTGTATCATTAATTTTTTTGATACATACAAATTATTCCTCTGTATAATTTAAACAATATTCTTATGTAATATAATAAATTAAAATTTGATAATTAGTTGCGTGTAATCAAACATAATGATCAGATTAATACATATTCTACTTAAAATATTTTCAAAATAAATACGCATAATATCCTAACTTTAAGTAATTAATTCTAACATAAAATACAAAAAGGCATCCCTTATGTTAAATATACTAAAATGTAATATTTATTAATAAATAAAAAGAGTCCGAGTAAGTCCTATACACTTTAAACTAATCCTTCTTATATAAAACTTATTGCAAAAAGCAAAGTTGTTCTATTAGATCTTGTAAATATGATATATTTTATTTTTTTAATTATTTTTCAGCTAAACCTATAATTTTATGAGGGGAACATACGAATATTAATATCGTAATACACCAATATTATGAAATAACGTAACCAAAGCAACTAGCAAAATAATATAATCGTTGTTGATACTTATTATTAATATTATTTTATTTTTGAAGGAAGAAAATTTCAAAAGAAATTAAAATTACAAAATAAAACTTGAAATTATAAAAAGATAATATTTTATACTGATTAACGTTGCACATTTATCCAGCCGTAAGATCGTTTTTTTTAATCTTTTAAGGCTTTATGTCTTGACCAGATGGTTCGCGTTCCTTGGCTTTACATAATGGTATATGACAATAGGACTAGTGATTATTTGTATAGGTGTGATATAAATAGAGCCCGTAAACAACTATTTTTTAACAACTTTTTAAAAATATCCCTAATCACGTAAGACATATTTAAACATCGCTAACTATAAATTGATCGAACACCAATGAATAAGTCGAAGATGGATCCAGAAGATGTTTAACAAAAAAATTATGATATTGCACCTTTTTCAGAAAGGGTCATGAATATTTTGATCTCCTGGGATCCATCACTGGCATATAAGAGAATGGTGACTTCATTAAAAAAATAATTTTATTAAATATATATATATATAAATATTCTAACGAAATTAAAATTGAGTATTTTTCGATGCTTTTCGAATAGAAAAATATATATTTATAAATTTTTTTTTTTTTGTTAAACGAATAATAACTATCTATTAATTAATTAACTGAGAAACCTAACACTATAATAAATCCTCAAATTTATGGCGTTAATTTTTATATAACAAGATTTTAACATTCTTTGTTAAAATTTAATTTTGTTTTGACTTATACTATATAGTAGTATTTTATAACACTAAAATGGTATATTATCACTAGCAAGCATTAATCGGGAACAAACAATTTTTTTTTAAATAATACACAAGTTAAATATAACCAAAATGTAATACTTAAAAAAAATGACTAACTCAATATATAAGTCTGTTTAGTTAATCATGCCTATTTAGAAATAAGCACAATAATAATGAACTAAAAATGGGAGTGCAATAAATCCGAATTTTGCTTCCACAGCATTATTTATTATAAAACCGCTGGGCGTGTTTTGCGGAAATCCGTTCTAGTGTTAAGTACATATATTGCTTTTAACACAACACTTACAAACGTCGCCAGCCTCTACCTATTTATTTACATGTAGGTTAATTGACATTTTGATTGTTGAAACTAAATTAAATGAATATTACTAACAATAACGAATTATACTTTAGGCAAAGAAATAATTATTCAACCAACGAATAAAATATACACGGTTTATACCAATGGGAGTATTGGGGTAACCAGATGCCCTCGCTATATAGTTATAAAAAATTTATTAGTTTACAAACAGGAGTGAGCGTAAATTTGTCATCAATGGCATTATTGGGGAGATGACAACGTATAAAAATTGCTTGAATAACATTTGATTAATTATTCAGTTGGCAAATTTAGTGACAGAAAATGCTATCTGAATAAGTTATTAGAAATTAAATATAATTCATAAAGCATAAAATAATATAATATAATACAATAAAAGACTGAATGGTAACTGTTAATCTATAATGTTTTGATACTATAATCTAGAGTATCAAATAGGAATGCAACTAAAAGGGGCGTCAACGGTCCCCAAAATATTCATATTCTGTTTTCTAGTAGTTTATTTTCACAATTTGTAAAAAAATATTAAAAATACTTGATACTCGATATCGACAAATTTAGTGTCATAATCAAACAAAACTTCAAAAAAAAATTTTAATCATTAAAATTTTTAAAAATGACTATAAAAATATTAATTAAATAAATAAGAATTGCGGCTCATTTAAAAAAAAAAAGAAATTTATAAATTCTAACCCCTTTGTTCGATTACGTCTTTGAGTGTATTATGAAAAATATGTTAAACCGTAATTTTAAACTTTATCTTATCTAAATAGATTTAATTATTCAGAGATGAAATTTCAAAACAGAGAAACTATTAAATAGCATCTTAGAGCTAGAGACGTATCAAAGTTTGCTCCATTTCTAACTTTTGATATTGGGCAACCTAACTTTTAGCTTCAATGCGAAGCTGAGAAGGTATTAATTTTACTATGATGTGTTTTTTTTTTTTTATGTCTGTTGCCACTTTTTCTCAGCTCTCGCTGGACCTATTTCTCTCAACAATACGTCAAAAGATCACAAATCGTATCTAGTTGAAGACATTACCCTAAAAAATTGAAAAAAAATCCCTCGTACCCCGAAAATGGGGGAAATATCCAAAAAAATTACAAATTTAAAAATCGGTAAATTTTGTCATGTTTTTCACTTTTTTTTCTTAAAACTTCCATAACTTTTTCAAAAATAAACAAATAAACACAATTTTTTTTTATACTAAAACCTTAGATATTTCCCTTTCATTTTATATCATTTTTTTGAAAATCTAACACTTAACCTGCTCATTGGTGGGGATTTAAAATAGCAACTTTTTTACAAAAACTAACTTTTTCAACTTAATTTTTGAAAATGTTCCGGAAATACTGTGTCCTTTAAACATATATAAAATTAAAGCTTATTTTATGTACTATAAAATGGAAAAAAAATTTGTCCCGACGACTTATCTTCTATACGCAAATGACTACCGTATTCAAAAATATGCTATTTTTGTATTAAAATTATGGGTTTTGTATTTNTACCATATTGAAAAATATACTATTTTTGTATGATAATTATGGGTTTTGTATTTTATTTTAATAGAAGTTGATGTTGCTTTTGCAATTATCCATCAATTTTTTAAAATTAAACACTATCTACAGATTTGCATCGAAGCGTTTCTTATGATAGTGATTTTAATCACTGTCAGATTAAATCTATACTGGACCCAACTATGCAATGTCTCCACTATGCCGCGACCCCACTGTGCTACCGTTTTTTATTTATTTTAATAATGTAGTAAAAAACAAATTTATACTAGATTTAGTTGGACGTAAAGACAATTTTTTTGACATGCACCTAAAACAATATGTCTACAATAGTTATTAGCATGTAAAAGCTAATTATTATTAAAAAAAACTGAACCAAAACTCGTGAATATTTTTTGATAAATAAGAAATAAGTTGATCAGATGAAAAATACAATAAAAATTAATCAATAAATACAACAGTATCATTTTACTCTTAAATTTGAAAAGAAAAATGCTTACTATATTACCCAGAGTTTTTTGCTTTTTTCACCTTCAAATATATTTTATAATGCAAATATTTTATTTATCAATAATATTTAACTTTATTTGTATTTATATTTATATTAAATAAATCCTTCAATAATAATTTGTTTTTATAATGACAACGGATAAATAGATTTTTTGATTTTTTATTAACTATACCACCCCTAATATTATTTTTAGTTTTTAATATCTGAAAATATTATTTGGTAAACTTATGTTACCTTGTTATAATGTAAATTTTGACACAAATAATTTTAAATAGATTAAAAAAATTATTTGATTATTAAAGTATTTTTATTACATAATAATTTTATTTCTTTTATTATTTTTAAAAAATAAATATGATATATAAATAATCATATCACTTAAGTAGGTGGATAATTTAAAAATTGTATTCACAAAGTTTTATTATTTTTTTTTTTATTTACAAAAATAAAAATAAAGCTTGTACAAGAAGATAAATTATTATGAAACATTCTTTCAAAATTTAGTGTTCAAACCCCATTTTCTTCGTTAAAAAAATTATTTTTATTTTTTAACTCTTTATAGAAAAAATGAAAATATCTTACCATAATAATTTTGCACATTCCATGTTAATAAACTATTTATTTCAAATTTTTACTATTATTTATTAACCACATTATAGAATTATATCTTTTACATTTAAAACAAAGTAAAATGTAGGTTTTTAAAAATCAAATATACTGTGGTGTTGAAAGTTGAAGACAACTTACACGTGATCATCGTATCTACCGGCACGACGGTTATGACGACGACGCACGTCCTCCTCGCAGTAAAACAATTTTTATGTATGCCGTATGTATGTGATAAGGCCTGGCACGTGCGACGCTAAGACTGAATCTGAAGTTCCACTTGACATTGCTAACTGCCCCAATCTAAAAGACCAACGCAAACCAATTCTTAGTATGAATTCTTCGAATATGTAATTAATATAATATAATATTTAGAAAATCCCTTTGAATTTTAGAAGGAACCCCTTTGATATACACTAAATTATTCCAAAGGGGTTGTCATAATATATAGTGTACCACCAGTTTTTGATACATTTATAACTTTTGTAGTTTAAACCAGTATTTAGCATTATTTTTTTTATTTAAATTTTTTTTTCATTTAGGATAAGTACTTACAGAGTTACATACATTTTAATACATAGACTATACATACCCACTCGACATATTAAAATTCTTGTATTCCATAAGTACTTATTTTAAAGTTGTCATTGACTCGTCAACATTTTTTATAAGAAAATATTTGAAACACGGCTATTTTTAAAATTGTTGAATATATAAAAAAATCATGTTAATTTTTTTCCTTGAGAAAAATAATGAAAATATGCTTTTAACGTACACTAAATCTGTAGAAATTATTTAAATAAAAAAGTGACGCAAAATATTCACTGAATCAACTTATTAAAAATGTCAAAACCTAGTGGGACAACTGTATATGAAGAGAAAGCTTTATTTAAATCATTTAAATGATAACAAAAATATTCAAATTTGTAATAAAATTATATTTCTTTAATATGTTCAGTAAATGTATTAATTTGAAGACATTTTTTGGTATTGTTTCATCATATTCTGAATAAATACTTGCTTTAATAAATGAAATAAAGCATTACTCAAAGGGATGTCATAGCTCTCTGATACACTCTTAAATATACCTCTAGTTCATTTTGAGAAATCTAGAAAATGTATAAATATTTCAAAAAAAAATTATGTTTTTCAGTAACTAATTATTCATAGATTATTTTTAGTACCCAGAAATACACTTATACATACTTAAATTATTAAAAATTTATTACCAGCTAACTTCAAGACTTTTATATGTACATGTCTCGGACTTTTAGAAGTGAATTCAGTAATTGATGTATATTCTAATTAAATTACAATATTACTCAAAGATTAAAATAAAAATAATTAACAAAATTTAACCCTGATCTTATCTGACTTTTGTTTAGACATTGTTATACAAGTCGTATTGAGATAATTTGCAACAAATAAATTATTTATTTAAAATAGTTCAAATTCCTTTTGAATAGTAAAGTTGACTGGTTGTTAACTGAGCCATTCATTTATATGATACAAGATATAAATAGAATTATTAGGCGTCTAATGTGTCATAAACTTGATTGATATAAAAATTAGTTAACGACAAAATGACTCTTTTCATGGAAGTAATTAAAATTTTAGAAAAACATAAGAAATTTGTAATCAGTATATTTAATCTGTAACCAGACTTAGATATTTTTCACTAGTTATCCACTAAAAAATCTTATGCAAATTGTTTTCAAATTTACATCCTTAATATCAATTTAAGTGTTTTTTATTACAAAATATAATACATATTTAAATGTACAAAAAATATCTTAATCTTAGTTCTATTTACTTAATATATAATTATGTATTAATAATTAGTATAATTTCAAGTTATTCCGCTCATAAAATATAACCTTTTTTACCTATTATGCTATTGACATACAACGGAATTTCAATTGTTCTGCAATAGTAACTAGAAAACTTTTGTTTTTATACTTTTAAAATGAAAATAAAACATTACATTGTTTTCATATTTATATAACTAGACTCAGATTAAGAGGGTTGTTCTCACGGGACCATCTCAAATTTTACTAACTTGCTATGACATGTCACACAAAAATATACAATTTTATACAGTTGATATTTTTGTTATTTGTCATTATTTCATAGAAATTATATTTTGGATAGGGAAATGCCTAAGGTAAATATAGTTCTAATCCCAGGGCTTTACAAAAGAAAAAAATATCTATACCAAAAACAACCTAGTCATTGAACCTTTATTAAGTTCACAGTTTAAAAATTAGCACAACACACCAAAAAAAACTTGTTTATTTTCTGATTCACAAATTTACAATAAAAAATTCAATACTACCCAAAAATAAATTATTAGCCTCACCTAATTAATAATAACCTTATCTGTTGAACAAAAGATATATATAGTCCATTGTTAATTTAGAGTTAGATAATAATTTATAAAAATATTATACAATACCAAAATAAAAAAAATTATAAATATTATTTATATTAACATTTTATATTATTAACAGAAATAAAATACATGAAAAATTAATGACAATAAATTTATAAATCAAATACTAAAAAAAAAAAATTTAGATTATTTATATATAAATAAATATACTTTAATAAAAGTAAATAAGGATACCTGGTCATAAAAAGGCAAAGAAGACATTTATAAATACACTAAAATTGTAGCTAACTATCCAAATGTAACTTTACTTAGACTTATACCATTCAATGACATCAAAACATTCATAAAAATAATAAAACTCAAAAATGGCCCAAGCTATAAACCAACAAACCACAAAGCTGAACCCAATTAAGACAACGGTATTTTAATGGAAAAATTTTAATCTCAAAAAAAAAAAAA